CTAGGCTTCCTAACTAGAGCCAGGGTTCATTAAATGAAATTGCTTTCCAACAGTAAAGCCAAAGACTGAAAAAGCAACAGAAAGCATCTGAGAAACCAGGGAACTCAAAACCTCTAAGATAATTTCTAGTATTCTTTATTAATTTATATATTTTTCTATTGTTGTTCAGATGCAAAAAAAGATGAAAATATGTGTATCCAGTTCCCTAGTTTTGAACATAAAAAATAGACAAGAGGTCAAGCCACTCTTAGAAGAACAACATGTACCCTTTATGGACATGATCCTTGCACTGTCTCTTAAGCATCGGCAGCATGAGTGCCAGACCAGACCTAACACTCAGCAGCTGCAAGGTCATAGGCAAGGTACCCCGACTCCTCTGCTGCAATTCCTTCAACCTAAAAATGTCAACAAGAAGATACCCATCTTGAGGTCTTTGGACTGAGAGAGGGTTTTAATAGAAAAGCTAGCCAAATCCCAGAAATCAAAATAAGTATGAACTGTTAGATGTTTGTCCTTGAAGGATCTATGATTATTATGATCACCAACTTATTTCTTCTTAGTGAGTAAATCATCAGAAAAAATAATGAAAAGACAAAACAATGGAGATAGTGATGTATGACTACCTTACAGTGCTATTACCCAGGAATGAATGTGAGAGTAAGCTATCTTGTACTTTCTAATAATTGGTCTAATCATTGTGACCATGTTTTGAGAGAGACTGGGAGAGTCTTCCCTTCTGGTTGGAATGGAGAAAAGGAAGAGAAATTTTTCCCACAGGCAGAAATCTCTATTGCATGCATTACTGGAGCCCCCACCTCATTTCTACATGAAGTAAATGTAGGGACTTGGTTAAAACTTAAGCCTGACAAATGACCCTTTTAGCCAAGGGCAGAGTTGGAAATCTGTAGGGACAGCAAACACATTCCCTAGAGACAAAAACCAAAACACAACTGGTAGGTATAAGTTTAGGGTCAATTCTTGACTCTCTTAGTTTGAATTAATAGACGGTTTGGTAATTGGTAGGTTATAGCCACTGGTGAATAGGAAACATAGCTTTTGCAAATTCACTCTTACTGATGGCTAGCTACTCATGGCAATTTCATAGCTAACAAACTAGGCAAAGTACTCAAAAGGCCTCTCAAAAATGTATCAAGGAAAAGGCAGGCTGGAGCTGAGGTTGGTAGCTCAGTTAGTAGAATGCTTCATCCCCAGACCTCATAAAACTGGGCTTGGTTGGCATGTCTCTGGAATCATAGAACTCAGAAGGTAGAGGCAAGAGGATTTGACGTCATCCTTGGTTACATAGCCAGTTTGAAGGCAGTCCGGACTACATGAGATCTGCTCTTAAACAACAATGAAAAATTGTAGATAATATCACTAACTGTAAGCTCGTCATTAAGTAGGTCTATGAAGAAACAAAAAAATAACAACTCCCTTCATTTCTATGAGTCTAACATTCAGACCCAGAGTAAAGAGAGATAGATGTCTAGTCCACCATTTATATTTTTAAAAGGAGATGGGAGTTAGCATGTTAAATGAAATAGCTTGAATGCACAGCTGGTGAATAGCCATAACAGGACTAAAATTCCACTTGCCTCCACATCTGTGTCCATTCCTACCCCACTTCTTCTCTCAGCATTATCAGAAAAACAGAGGTTGATGGATGGATGTTATTTCTAACCACTATCATATCTCTATTATCCTGCCAGCCTCAGAGGAAGATCCCAGGAAAAAGGACAACCACCACCCTAGGTCACCTCCACTAGGGTGGTTAAAGACACTTCCAAATGGTTTTTAGTAGGTTTTCAAGCTTGAGGGTGGTGAGCAGTCCGAGGATGGAGATAAAGATCCACCCAGAAGCCCTAAAGAAGCAAACTAATCCAATAAAAAGAAAGAAACCCACCTGAGAACCTTTGGGGATAGAGAGTCCCACAACCTTGCCTTCCTTGAAACAGGGTCAAACCGCTAGGTGTAAGGCCACCATTTGAATTCTTCATAATCTAACAAACACAGGACAATCACTTTCATCTTGCACCAGGCCTCTCAAGTTAAATGATACAGCTGGTGTGTAACAACCCAGAAGAGTTGGCCTGTATGCAACCACTACTTAATCTAGCCCTAGACTGTAGTAAAAAAAAAAATTAAATTAACCTGGCAAGGGATTTCTACCTGCCATAGACTATTTATGTTCCTGGATGAAAGACACACATAGCCTTATATTTTTAAATATGTTAGGAGAGGAGAAAGGAGAGCCGCCATAGGTTAACTAAGCCACAAAAACATGGCCATATATGCTGGCCAATTGGAGCCAAGAGCAGCCCAGATGAATAATAAGCAATAATTCGGTATCATCGATAGGGAAATAGTCTCTAACAACATGAAGGGTAGGCGGTTGCCCAGTTATTGTGCAACCTAAGGCATATTTAAAAGTACAAGGCTGTGTGTGTCTTTCATCCGAGAATAAAAATGGTCTAAGGTGAAACAAAACCCATGCCAAGATTACTTAAGTATATTTTACTACACTAGACAAATGGGACAGAAGGAAAAGCCCTGAGAATTTTATCCCTTCAGTGACTTCGGGGAGGGAATAATGTTGCGAGAGGCGAGAGGAGAGAGGGCTGCAGCCTTGGATCTTTTCCAACCCTGCCAAGGCAGATGCCATCAATACTTTCTGACAGAGTAGGTCAGTCCAGTCCCTGGAAGTGTGGGAAGGAAGGCACAGCTGAGGGAATGTGCCAGAGGCAGCGGTGTCTAAAGGGTAAACTCCCACCGGCCTGGCCGTTGCCGAGAGAACCCTTGGAATCGGGAAGTTAGAGGAACCCAGGCCCTTGCTCAACTCCAGCTTCAGGTTGAGTACAGCAAGAACTCCTGAGCCCAGGCTCAAACTTCAGGTTTGAACTCCCCGCCTCTGAGAAGGGGCGGGGCCACGGCAGAAGGCAGGGTTTCCTGCGGCGACGCTGAGTTTGACTGCACCCTCTCAAAAGGCCTACCAATGAGTAAGTTCCCCGTGGTGGTTCCATAGTGTAGCGGTTATCACGTCTGCTTTACACGCAGAAGGTCCTGGGTTCGAGCCCCAGTGGAACCATAGCTGCAAAGCCAGCTGACATTTTTTTCTCTAGTACTATCGTAGATAAAACCGGAGATTCTTATTTCTTTTTTTACTTACTTTTTTCCCCTAACATCTTTATATCTCAGAAGCGAAACCACAGGTCTCAGCCGTGGTCAGCAGATTCCCCCAGAGTGAAGCAGGGCGAATCAGAGCTTTAGCCGCTGTGTACCCTACCTGGAGAAGTTCCACCATACTTCACCAGGAGCGCCCCGCAGCAGCCTTTTTTCCTGAGCCACGACAAGTTGATCCCCAGAATTTCCCACAAAAATACGTCAACGTAGCCACGCTTTAACTGCAGCTGCCATTTTAAAAAGTTGATTGTGATTAAAGATTAAAAACACCTTATTCAATTCTTTAATACCTTATTTGACTCAAAAAAAAAAAAAACAGAACAATGTAGCTGGAGCGTTAGTGAAGGAAGAATTTATTTACAGTTTAGAATACATGTCATGCTTTTAAATTTATTAATTAAATGTAGTCCTTGACAAATTGATGCTTGTATATAATCCGTTCCTATTTCCTCTCGCTCCCTACTCATGTCAGGCTTTACAACCACATCCAGTGCGTGCTGATTGATGACTACATGTTTCTCTAGTTCCTTGTTGTTGTTCCAGTTATTCCAGTTTCTTCGGGGGAAGAGAACTTCCTGGAGAAGGGGTGAAGAGACTTTTTTTTATCTTTCACAAGAAGAATGAGTGAAAGGGTTTTGGGCGTCCTCTGGGCCAGGAGTGAGATGGTGGGAACAGAGAACTAACCAGGGAATGAGAAACTTCAGATTTTTTTCTTGGCTTCTCCCCGCCCCTCTCCCCAGTTTTGCCTATACAGTATAGAAACATACATCTTTTTGTAACTAAAAAGTAAACAAACACAAACAAAACATGATTTTCTTTCCTGTTAACAATCAACTTACTGTTTTTAAAACTTCAGCCATCCAAATGCACAGTTAGACATTGTAAGTATATTCACGTTGCTGTCGACACATTTCCAAGAATTTTTTCTTGAAAAACTGAAACTACATCCATTGACCTTGTTTCTCCCATCAACTTTACTTTTAATGCCCATGCAATAATGATAGCTGAGTATGCCAGACATTGACATAGTACTTTTTTTAAATGATGGGAGTCAAATGTGACACACATACACACGCGTGCGCACACACACACACACACACACACTCAAAGCAAATCTCTCCATCTTGAGCTAAGCTACACCTCCAGACTTACTAAGTGTTCTGTAGTATCATGTCATTTCAACCTGAACAGAATTCTATGAAGTAGACATTGTTATCATTGTTTTACAGTCAGAAGATTTGCCTTGAGTTTGCACCATTGCAAGTGGTATGTTTCTTCCCAGATGAATTCGGGAATCTGTGCACTTAGCCAACTTCCTAACTTTGGTCATTCTGATTGTTTTCGTGTTGTCCTTATCATAAGTAACCTGAACACTGCACGTACTTACATATAACTGAGCCACCACTACCAAAGTTAATGTTTTCCAGAGCGGGCAGATGTCAATGTGACCCACAAATAGAGGATGTGTTTACTCAACAGGAAACTGTTCAAGGTCACTCCCTAGAAAATGATGTCTGAGAAAGAATTAGGGACCCACATCTTCCAACTCTAGTTTCTATTTCCTTCTATTACTCTCCTTACAGTTAAAGATGGAATAACATCAGCACCTTCTTTGCTAAACCAACCTATGTCAACCATATTTACTGAGACTTTGTTGAGGCAGGGAACTGTGTGGGTTAATTGGACAGAGGGTGAGTGAAAGATCTAAGAACTAAATGGAATAAGATGCTTAGTGAGGCCAGTGCCTCAAGTTAATCGTCTGTTCCTAGGCTAGCTTTCCACTTTACTTGGGTCGTGCTGTGACCAAGGACAAGGAGAAAATGCCATGCAAGATTGAAGGTTTCTTCTTATTACTTCTCTTTGGCTATGAAGGTATGTACTATTCTACTACTGACATTTATTAATGTATTTAATAATGAAATTTAATATAGAAAATAGTTGATAAATAGAAATACAACCTGAATGATAAAAATCATTGGATGACAACATGCCAATTAGTTCACAGGTTATTAATTTAAAAGGTCATCTTTGTGTGGCTGTTTGTCATTGTCTTGCTACTGTCTTCCTGGTTTCATGAAGACATTTCTAAAGTTCAAATGATGTTGAAACCCCCACAAAAAAGAAGGGAGGGCCTCAGAATTTGTATAAAACAAGTTTAAATTGCAACAATTAATGAGAAGTCATGTTTCTTGGAAGTTTTAGGAGGCAAATTTAGAGCAGTTGTAGAATTTAATATTCTAGATCTGACTATTACTGAGGGTTAAGGATGAAGCTATTAATAGCTCTGCTGGGACAAGTGTAAACGAGGACTGTCCCAGGCAAATCAGGACAAAGGGTCACCCTAGTTTAAATATGGATTAGCATAAGGCCAAGTACTACTGCAGTCTAATAGAAGTCTAATAAAATAATCCAAAGAAAGTCAATAAACCCTAAAGACTCAATATACTCCACCACTTTTAAACTTCTAAATGTGGCCCTGGCAGGCATGATATGCTTAAATAAGGACAGATTAAAGCTAAATCTCTAAAATGTCAATCAAATAAACTTTAAATCTCTTTCAATCTTAGACATAATACTCTTTCATGCATCTCTTAACTCTCAAGTGCCCATCAATTCAGAATTCCCCTTAAAGTGTATACTTTCAAATATTAAAAATGGGTTGAAGGGTTGGGGATGTGGCTCAGTGGTACAGCCCCTACCCAGCCTTCATGAGTCCCTGAACTCAATCCCCAGATGTAGTATAAGACAACCAAATAAAAACCTTACTTTAAACTTTATCTGACATAGCTACACATATCTGCAATCCTAGTACTGGGCAAATTAAAGCAGGAAGGTCATGAGTTCAATGCCAACCTCAGCTACTTAAGTTTGCGGCCAGCTTGGGTTACCTGAGACCCTGTCTCAACACTGGAAGGGGGTCTAGGCTAGGCTGAGCTATATAGTAAGACCCTGTCTGGGAGGGAGGGAAAAAGGAAAGAAGGAAGGAAGGAAGGAAGGAAGGAAGGAAGGAAGGAAGGAAGGAAGGAAGGAAGGAAGGAAGGAAATTGGTTGAATGACTTTTGGGTGACATTGTGTGTTTAGAGTGTTATGAGGGAAAAGGAGGCCTGTCTGCTCTGCAAATGACCTGCCAGTCAAACAAGATGAATATACACAAGAGTCAGAATTCCTAGCTTATACCATTCTCTGTTTTCTCCGTGTGTGTGTGTGTGTGTGTGTGTGTGTGTGTGTATTTCCATGAACCAGTAGTCTTGTGTCTTTTATTATCTAGTAGTATTTCTAGTGTTTTGAAAGACTTGTGAAAATAAAATCTTAAGGTCATACTGCAAACTCACAGAAAAGTTTTTTTCTCTTTGTTGTTGTTGTTGTTGTTTGTTGTTGTTGTTGTTGTTATTTATGAGACAGGATCCCACACTGAAGTTCAGGCTAGCCTTCAATGTAGTCCAGGCGCTGGATTTGACCTCATAGCAGTCAGCCTGTTTCCACCTTCTGAATGCTAAGATTTCAAGCATGAATCACCATACCCAATTTCTAAGCTATGTGTTTAAGGAGGGTTGTTGGAATTCCATCTTTGCCCTTTGCAATTGCATGTCAGGAATTTGTGCCAGGCTTTTTTTCTTTCTTCTTCTTCTTCTTTTTTTTAATTTTATTTAATCTTTTTTTTTTTACAATCCAGATTTTATCCCCCTCCTGGTCCACCCTCTGACTGTTCCATATCCAATACCTCCTATCACCAAACTGTCTCTACCACTCCCACCTCCCACCCCACCAGATCTCCCCACTCCCTGGGGCCACAAGTCTCTCAATGGTTAGGTGCATCTTCTCCGAGTCCAGACCCTGCAGTCCTCTGCTGTATATGTGTTGGGGGCCTCATATCAGCTGGTGTATGTTGCCTGGTTGGTGGCTGAGTGTCTGGGCAATCTTGGGTGTCCAGGTTAGTTGAGACTGCTGATCTTCCTATGTGATCGCCCTCCTCCTCAGCTTCTTCCAGCTTTTCCCTAATTCAACCACAGGGGTCAGCAGCTTCTGTTCATTAGTTGGGTGTCAGTATCTGCTCCTGGCTCATTCGGCTGCTTGTTGGGCCTCTCAGAGGGCAGACATGATAGGCCCCTTTTTGTGAGCATTGTGCCTTTTTTGTTTTGTTTTGTTTTGTTTTAATTGTCAGGCCTGGAGATGGAGCCCACAGCCTTGTGCGTGCTAAGCAATGGCTCTAGCCCTGAGATATATGCCCAACTTATCCCAAGATCTTCCTCAGGCTCTCTGAGGTTTGCTATTTATATTGCTTCTCTTTGGTTCCTTGTTCTGTTCTCACAAGAAGATCTAAAATCTCACAAAAAGATACCTCTGGTTCTCAGACAGGAGTTCACAGTGCTCAAACTTGCTCTTTCACATGGTTGGTGTTGAAATTCATTTGTTACACTACTCTGTTCTTTCCAGAACCCTTGTCTGGGATTAGAGAGACAGCTTAGTCTGTAAAGTGCTTACAGCTTACACATGGTGACTTGAGTTCTATTCCCAGAACTTTCCTTGTTTAAAAACAAAAACAAAACAAAACAAAAAAAACAAGAACAACAACAACAAAAAAAAAAAACAAAAACCAAGCATGACAGCCAGAGAGGTGGCTTAGCAGTTAATAACACTTGTCAGAGAGGACCTAAGGTTGCTTCCTCGGGCTATATAACTCCACTTCCAGGGCCTCAGAAAGCCTCTTGTAACCTCTTCACACAGCAGACATGGTCCATATGCATGCAGGCAAAACACTCATACACATCAAATGAAAAATAAAAGTCTTAAAAAAAAAGTCAAACATAGTGATACACACTTATAATCCCAGTGCTAAGGAGGCAGATGTCTGGACCTTGTTGACCAGCCAGCCAGCCTAGCCTATTATGTGAGCTCCAGGCCCATGAGAGACCCTGTCTCAAAATTAAGAGTTAGAAAGAAAAGACAAAATGGATGGCTTCTGAGGAAGGATACCCACAATTGTCCTGTGGCCTCTGTGTGCAACACAAACCCATGTCTGAATATTTGCAACAGGGTAGACATTAGAACTTGACACATGGAATCAGACTACATCCCCTCATCTAGTAAAGCTGCTTTTGCCCCTCCCATCTGTCTTATTTTTCTATTGATGTGCTCAGGCACCATGACCAAGGCAACTTAGAGAAGAGACAGTTTATTGAGGGTTTACAATTATAGAGGGTGATGCAAGGACTTGGTAGCAGGCAGGCAGGCAATCATGATGCTGATACAGTAGCTGGGAGCCTATATTTTGAGACACAAAGCTGAGAGATAGCTAAGTGGGTCTGGCGTGATTTTTTAAAACCTCAAAGTTTGTCCCCAGTGACATGCTTCCTTCAACAAGGCCACAGCTCCTAACCCTTCCCAAACAGTTCTACCAACTGGGAACCAAATATTCAAATATATGAGCCTATGGTGATCATTCTCATTCAAATCAGTACAGTGCCCCATGGACAGAAGTCCTCTAAACGTTTACGTGTGTGTGTGTGTGTGTGTGTGTGTGTCTTTCACCATACTTAGAAGGAAACAAGGCATCCAAAAATGGATGGTATGACTCAGAAAGTTCCCGTGTACTCTACCTAGAGCAAACATGGATATGGTGGGAAACAGAGGACAGTTATAGGACACAAAGGTTGTGCTCTATCAGTTTCTAGTCCAGATGGAGACATAAACCAACACACATGGGAAAGATGTATTCCATTGGATAGTGGGAACCCATGCACAAAGTTTCTGTGGCTCATTTATTCTGTGCTATTTCTATTCTTTGGTGACAGCAGTTTCTTATTATTATGAAATAAGATCAGTAGATGAGCTTTGTTTCTGCCCTGGATGACAGTTCATTTGGGAACACACATGTGATCACACTAAGACAACCACTGATGGCATAGAACAGAGTTGAGGCCCTGTTTATCTTCCACTGTGCATTGTGGATCCTATGCCATTAGTGATTGATTAAAACACCCATCCTATTACATGTGTTAGTCCTTTTTCTTTTGGGGGGGGGTTATGTTTATTTTATAAAGGTAGAGGGAGCTATCCAGCCTCATCTTACAGGTAACTGTGTCCCTTTTGTGGGTATAAAAGCCATTAGGTATTGCAATTTATTTGATTTTTGTAAAAAGCAACTGTTGTTTTTTTTGACTCATTTTATTTTTGATTATGTGTCTGAGGGAGCAGCAGGTGCCTGTGGAGACATCGGATCACCTGAAGCTGGAGAGTTTCAGGCAGTTTTATGCCACCAGACACTGGTGCTGAGAATAGAATCTCCCGTAAAAGCAGTATATTTTATTAACCTGTGAGCCATCCCTCCAGCCAAAAGTAACTTTTAAAAGATGTGGTTTCTGTGCCATTTAATTCATCCACTTAGAGGATACACTTCAATAGTTTTTTAAAATATGCTTACAGATTTGTGGCACATATGATCCAATTTTAGAGCTTTTTCAGCATTACAGATATTAAATACTTGCTCTCTAGTCTCCCCAGCTCCCAGTCCCAGTCCCTGGCATCCACAAATTCCCTTCCTGTCACCTATAGATTTGCCTCTTCTAGATTTTCCACTGAAATGGTATTACACAACATGTGGTCTTTTGTCTTTTGCTTGCCGTGTGTCTGTGAGGTTCATCTGTGTTGAGCATGAAAGGATAACAGATTTACCCATGAATATGCTTGTCACCTAAAATAGCAACACTTTCACACTAGAAGCAATTTCCTTCTTTCTTCTTCCCAAGAGGGACATTATTGCAGCCTGCTGGTTTTCTCCTGTGTCTTTATTCGTGTTTCTCAAGTAGATGAAGGGTCTGGTTACTTTTTTTTTTTAATCATTCATAGTTTTATACTTTCCTCTTCTGCTTTGT